CTCTTGGCGTAGTATATGCAAATTAAGGAAACTGCACATTAATCAGGTATTTGGCCAGTGATAGCACTCGTGGACCTGTAAGGGACAACCACAATTACCCGGCAGGTAAGTGTACCTTTGGGCAATTATTAATTCTCCACCTCCAGCAGAGGCAGCCACAACTCAGGTGAAGAGAGTACCAGCCTTCTCCACCTCCAGCAGAGGCAGCCACAACTCAGGTGAAGAGAGAGTACCAGCATTCTCTACCTCCAGCAGAGGCAGCCACAACTCAGGTGAAGAGAGAGTACCAGCATTCTCTACACACCCTCCAAAAAAATTGAGGGGGGGGGGTCGGGGTGGATGTGGGAACATCCGTACACACTCCTAAAAATTAGTCCGGGGGGGGGAGGGGGGCAGGGGGGAATAATCTGGTATACCACAAACCCTCATACAAACCCTAAGTGTAACATATACACATAACATATACATATACATTGTCCCAACACACAACACACTATCATTAATACTTAGCAGTAACATAGGCAATACTTAACCTATACCCAACTAACTGCACTTTAACCTTTAACATGCTAACCCCAATACAATATGAACAATGCTTTTCATATGCAAATTCACTTAACAACATGGCCGCCCCCAACAGGAGAGAGGCCCCTGCTTGCAGGTGGTCCTTCACGTTGAATAATTATGGCGATGACGACCTGGCACGCTTGCGAAACATCGACCCCGCGGCAATCAAGTTCAGGGTCGTAGGTGCGGAGGTGTCCCCGACCACCGGGACACCCCACCTACAGGGCTACGTCAACTTTTCCAGGAAGGTTCGTACCCCGCAGGTGAAAGGGCACCTAGGCGACAGATGCCACGTGGAAAAGGTCGTCGGTAACGACCATGACAACGAGCGGTACTGCTCGAAAGATGGCAACGTCGTCGTGCGGATGGGACATCCCATCAGACAGGGGCAGAGGAACGACCTGACGGCCGCCACCAATTTCCTACAGGAAAATGACGACGACCTGTCTGCACTGGCGCAAGAAATGCCTGAGACCTTTGTACGCCATCACCGCGGTCTAGAGGCCTATGTCTCGTACGCCCGCCTGCAGCCGGCCCGCGACTTCCTGACCCGCTGTTTCGTCTTCGTTGGGCCGCCGGGATGTGGCAAGAGTAGGTTGGTACGGGAATACCTGCCAGATGACACAACCACCTACTACAAACCGGAAGGGGGCTGGTTCAACGGATACATGGGTCAAAGTGATGTTGTTTTAAACGACTTCCACGGCGACATCCCCCGGCCAACCTTTTTGAATATGGTTGACCGCTATCCGTTGCGTGTACCAATCAAGGGCGGCTTTGTCAACTTTGCCGCAAGAAGGGTTTGGATTACTACAAACATCTTTCCAAACCACTGGTATACCAATGACCACGACCCCGCAGCGATCTTTCGCAGAATCACCCTATACCAGTTGTGGGACGACGCGGCCCAGTGTTTCAACGAGTTGGAATATTCCAACCTCGCACCCGGTCACGTTCTGTACGGATGGCACTATGATTACTAAGAAAAAAGAAATCACATTACAATCAAAGTCAATACATATATACACAAAGAAATGAAAACTCAAAAGCAACAAAAGAAAACAAAGACAAAGACACCTCACACCATCTACAATACCTAAGTCAATAACCCGCTGTACTTACACCCAATTCCGCTAGATGATCCCATACGACCACCTACCCCTGCAGTTCCACCAACGATCGCTAGATGCTTCCATTAAGCCATTAACCAAAGCGTATCATTTTCATCAGAGCCAAAATGGTTGTACATCTGGTTTGCTGCATTCAACCAAGGGACAATTTGCCAAGCAAGGAAAGTGGTGATGCCGGTTGACAAAAAGGCAATCAAAACTGGGGAGGTGGTCACCATTCGCGACAGCCAGGGTGACCACCAGGGCACAGTTCTATTCCACACATCATCAGGTTTGTATTCTTACATCTATCTACATGTACTGTACATGTTAAGTAATTTTTGGCATGTAAATACATTTGTTACTTAAAAATTATAAGAGAAATAGCCTGCCATCCAGATCTGTTTTGTTGCAAGGCTCTTTGACACATACTGACAGGTACAAGGTGGATGGCTACCAGGCTAAGGGAAAGATGGTACCATGTAAATGGCCTGGTGTGTTGACTTCATGGCTCCTATCGTACCATTTTGGGCCATAATAGGATGCCTAGGCCTGTTTTTATTTTTTATTTTTTCGTTCTTAGAAAAATCAGTTAACCAATAAATGAAATTGGTGTGGCCTAATGATAAAATATTTTTTAGAAAAGTCTAACAAGAGTCCATATATAGGACACAACTCCGTGAAGTGGGTATGGTGTTTCTGATATGAGTATGTGCTATCTTTTGAACCATTGATCTGCACATAGTACAGGCCTTTACTACTGCTGCTGCTCGGTTGTACTACAGGTCTCTTAAACCAACAGCTGCAAACTCACTCTATATTCCATATCTGCTTGGACAGTCCTTACAGCCACCTACCGCCTTTTGCAGACATTCCTAGTTCCCCACCTTCAGCAACCACAGAAACATGGGTACCCACCACTATACCACATCTGTCTTTAGCTAGCACCAAAAACAGCATTACGACCCTCGACGGGCACAGGTGCTTCATTGCAGATTATGGTACGACTCATAAGAAAATGAAAAGCATCGAGAGAAAAGTGGCAACTTTGCACGGACAGGTTCAGGCCTTTCTGGACAGTACAACAACCTGTATAATAATTGACAGGCAGGCGATTCAAAACAGGCTGATTTTAGGAGAGAGAATGAGTGATATCCTCAACAAACTGAGGGAGAAGAACGTTCCCCTGTTTGATGTTGCTGATTTCTCCATAAGGAAACTGGATTTAGACTGAGGAAGGGGATACTGAAGTACTTCGATTGGATTTAAGTGTTACATTACAATCTGTTTAATAATATGGTAGTATTAGTTCTTAGAGTAACGAAGGTCTCAATTGTATACAGATCGACAACTGTGTTAATTAACCAATAGATGATGAAGTTAGATACTATACATCAAGGGCAAATTGCACAGAAAGCTGACCAAAAAGCATTAGAATTGTTTCAAGATTTAGGCTTTGTGTCAAGCAATTCATTTTGCGAAACAAGACTAAAACAAAATTGTGTCTCTGCATAGAATGTACATGTAAGACCATAGTTTTAGGGCGCAATCATGAAAAACAGTATATTACACATTAGCTGTCTGCCTTTGTTTTATGATGTGAACAGGTATGTTGGATTGTTTCATAGGAAGACTCTGTATATCTTATTAGAATAATACATTAAGTACAAGCATCTTACCACAATATCTGTCTTTTTAGATCTCATCAAGCAGCTGGAGGCCTTTGTGGGTCTGAAAACACTCAAGGAGCAGATGGCCATGTTTGCCAAGGGCATCTTCATGCAGCGGAGAGTGGGCCGCAGTGCAGACATGGGGGGGGGGGGGGCTGCACATGGTATTCACTGGAAACCCTGGGACAGGGAAGACAACTGTGACAGTGGCCCTGGCAGGTAATGATTACTTTTCAAAAGTACTTTGCTTCCAGATAGCACTACCAGGCATAGTTAGAAACCAAATGAATAATATGGAGGATGTCTGCCAGGGAGAACGACTAGCTTGCCTCAGGGACAACAAAGACTGGTATTTGAAGGCACTGCAACAGACCAGGGGTACATCCCAATTGCACCCAAAATAAAAGTTTTAGTATTCACAATTCGGTGTATCTTTATCTGTTTAGAAAATTCTAGGTTTCCAAAATATGAATAGTGTTTTTACGTTATTTGACACAGCAGCTAAAGCATGCAATGAATGTTTCTTGACAAGAAGACCCTTGGAATGCGATTCTGTATATTACCTAGTGAGATAATTACTCAAGATCAGCTCCTTATTTCCACTTTTTCTTCTCTCAAGAAGGTTTCCTCTACAAACTGGGGATAACCAAGAAGACAGAACCTGTTGTGGTCCAACGGGGGGACCTGGTGAGCAAGTACATCGGTCAGACTACCGAAATGACACGAAGGAAGATTAACCAGAGCAAGGGTGGAGTCATGCTTGTGGACGAGGCCTACCGGCTACAGCAGACAGACTCGTCATCCAGGGACGTTGGCCGGGAAGCCCTCGAGGAGATCATGAGTGTCATGGAGGATGGTGATCCCATCATGATTTTCGCAGGCTATCCCGCGTTATCTGTTAATCCAGGAATGAAGTCAAGGATAGCCTACACTTTCCCTTTCCCTGACTTCAGTGTTGAGGAACTGGCCAACATCATCAATGTCGAGTGGCACTCATCACCACCTTAAACGGATGTGGCGCGTCTTCCAAGGCGAATTTTAACCAGAGTTCCGTCCCATCCAAACACACTCGCCATCTTGAAACGGCGTGGTTTTACCACCTGATAATGAATCACCAGAATTTGCATATTTCTTTATTACTAATTACGTAGAAAATTAGATTAATCGTAATGTAATAATTAAACAGTCGATCACCATGTCGTGAGTCTATGTGGCCGTAATTGTGTTATGATTTCCTTGTTATGACATGTTTAGGCTCGTCCTACAGGGCATTTAATACTCAAGTATTAAGGATGAGCTATAAATGTCCATGTATGTGATGCCCTACTGGGATCTCTGTGTAAAGGAATGTTTGGAAAGTACCCAACTTTTTGTTCTTTGTCAAGACGTAAATCATTAGTTTCCTAATGTGCTATTTTTGTCATTTTAGAATTACAATGTTTGCCTATCATTAAACATTGTGCAAGGACATGGCAGATGCTGGTGTCATGAAGTTAGTACTACTAACGTACAAGTTCCGATTGGCGTGGCACTCCTTTGTTCAGTTGCTCGACATTCACTATGATGTGGATTTATGTGCCCTCTTTGATTGACTGCACTAAGCAACATTTTCTAATATAACTAGATTGGGCCAGACTGTAAGAATGGGACTTGTTGGCCTTGGAGATTTTCAACTTTGACATCGACATAGAGCTTTATGACGATGTTTTTATCGGTATGTATTTTTTAGACATGTTTATGTGTGTGTTTGCGTGTTGGTATGCTTGTCTTTTGTGATTTTCGTTTTGATGCTTAAACCTTACGGCAGTTTTATCCCTTCTCCATCTCATGACGACCCTATGCCGGCTATGGATGAGGTGGCGGCGGTGGAGTGGACACCGATGACTCCACAGCCCGCCGACACGGATGTGATTGAACCGAACCACATGGCCGTGGTCTCGTCCGGGGGATGGGCCCCTGAAACTCCGCAGCCGGAAGATCACGGCCACGTGCAGGGACACGTCTGGGACCAGCCGCCGGCACAGATCTACCCGGTCCACGACGGCGCCGCTGACTACGGCCACGTGCACGGCGTCTGGGAGCAGCCGCCGGCACAGATCTACCAGGTCCTCGACGGCGCCGCTGACTACGGCCACGTGCACAGCGTCTGGGAGCAGCCGCCGGCCCACCACCTCAACAACCACAACCCCGCCCCCTCACAGAACCCTCCAGAACAACCGAATGGAGGAGAAAGGCCGAGGCTGGGCAAGGGAGGGGAAAGGAGTACACATGCAGGGTGTGTGGCCAGGCTAAGACATCTGAGGGCCACACACAGTACCGTGGGCGCAGTGGCCTGACTGTACGTCGCAGAATACTAGTATTTGAAAGATGATCGAATATTCTGAGTACGTTGTTCACAAAGACAGTCTTGGGCTATACAAGCTATCGTCCACAGATGCGGCCACCATCACAGCAGCCATCAGAATCACCCTCCTCCCGACAGGCAGTCCTCTACATCTGTGCTGGGGACAGGCTTATGATGGAGCTGGTAACATGAAGGGTCACCGTTCTGGAGTAGCAACAAGAATCAAGAGAGAGGAGCCTGCAGCTGTTCCGGTACATTGCTGGGACCATTCACTCTATGTATGTCTGCGAGATGCAAAGGACAGTGCAGGAGAAATCGACTCCCCAAAGCGAGAGACTGTTCAATCAACTGGCTGCTGGAGACGACAAGTCAAGTGAAAAAAATTACCAACCATGATCGGGCCCATGGCACTTGTCCAGGACAAAAACAGTCGTATTTAGCACTTGGTCTATAAGCTATCGTCCACATCACAGCAGCAATCAGTCACCCACGGTCGGAAGTACAGGGTCCAACACAGCCCAGGTCTTATTTCTAGATTATCGTAGTGGAGGAGTCTACGTTACCCCACGTCACATGAAGAACGAGTAGAGACCATCAAACAACATTTCGTGCTAGAGATTGACGCTCCTGTAAGGAAGCTGGGAGGGGGGAATACTGAGGTTCACAACTGGGAGAACCTGAATAAACACTTTAAGAACTATTCCAAAATGTATGGGTTGTGTTGAAAAAGGTAGTAGCAAAGATCAAGCACATGTGACGAAGTAACTGCGTATTCAGTTTTTTTTTTAACATTTCAACCGACAAACTTTTCTCTCAGCTTTCTGTCAAAAGGTGTTAACGAAGAGTCACTTAATCATTTTGCCTATTATAAGTATTGCATTCATTATTTTGAATAATGACGTTCTTCCTCAGCGACTCAACGCAGAACACCACGCAGCCGTTGAACGGATCGGAATGAAAGATAAGAAGGGTATGGAATGGGCAATGAAGAAGGCCATGCAAGCCATACTCAGCTGCTATGCTGGTGACCACAGCCAGTGCCACAAAGACTCCCTTGCATGCAGGCATCCGTGTGAAAGTTCGAGAAGACTAGGGGACTTCTACGTCCGGACAGCTATGACTGATAGAAGGCATCATGAAGATGAGACTCGGACCGGACATGCTGGAAAAGACGAGGCATGCGGCCGACACCAATAAAGCTGAATCTGTGAATCGTCAAATCACAAAGAGCCAACAAAAAAATATTACCCGTTTCCGCACGCTTGCTGGCAGGATAGCCTCTGCACTTCAATAATGGCAGACGAGTGGGGTACAAGCGGTGTTCACCAGTCTGGCTACTACTACCAGTTCCAACCCCTTGTGACCAGCATCCCCTTGCCAAGTTACCGAGACTACTCATCGACAATACCGTCGGCGGATTTGCCTCCGCCCATGCAACAAGGTAAATTATCTATATTTATATCGTGTGTGTGTATATATATATATATATATATATTGATTTTTTATATGAAAACAATCACAAGAGTGTCTATTTTTCACAAATCAGTATTGAAGTTATTCAACTGATGATGCGTTGTGTTTGTTTTGCCTTCATGCGGGGAATGTACGTGAAAGGGGAAATCGCACCACAATATATTATAGTATACTTATGGTTTTGAATATTTTCATTTAGGTCCTCTCACGCAGCTAAACACCATCCCCCTGAAGGAGTGGCTGGGGGCGAACACGACCAACAGGAATGACTTGAATGTGAGTCTTAGTTTCCTATGGCACAATTTTTCCTAGAAAGCCCCCCTCCCATTACATGTTATATACGATTCAGATACACCAATTCATTAATAGTGGACAATCAGGCCCCTGAAGAAAACGGAGCGAGAACACCACTAAAATCGTGTTCCAAAATGAAACTACACAGAACCGCTTCGTACAGGTGATCCCTTGTTCACTAGAATATTCTCTTTGGCAAACTACAACCAAATTTGTGACAAGATCAAGTATATAGCAGCAAATATTTCAATGCATGGTAACTGTTATTCTTTCTTTTCTTTTCTTTTGGCCCCCTTGCGTGTTGTCGCTCATTATTGCTATTTCTCCCAGGTAGCAGCATTTCTTTTGTGGTTCTGTCTCCTGGTTCAGGGCAAACAATTCAAAGCCAGCCACCAAAGGACATTTACAAACGGAGACTACAAAAGGAGAAAGAAGTTAACCAACCTTCACGGCGTCGAAATCCGCCTTGCATTGTCGTCATGCAAGGTTTGGTACAAACGTATTGAGTTTGTGAAGGAGGTAGGCATCAGAAAGCAGCCCAAACAGGGCAGACAGCTGAAAGCCTGCCACCTCAGGTTCTTGGACAAAAGGAACGATGGCAACAAGATAGCCGTGCTCCAGCAGCTCATAGACGGGAAGCTTGAGTACGGCTTTGGTAAGAGGGCATTTAACGTATACCGTAGGGGGAAGTCTGGATTCCCTGTGTTGCTCTAGCGCGAGCTGGACAGGCATGGTTAGGTTTCTTGATCGCTGACATCGAGAAACTCTCTTGTGCTCTCTATTTCATTGATTTATGTATGACCAGGTTATTCCAGTCCATGTTCCCGGAGCCAACAGATTTTTCAAGAAAAACACCTGCTCATGAGATTGTGGAAAAGTAAACTCATTGACTATTTGATTGTTTACATAATTTTCACAGATCCCAGACCCGAACTACGAGGCCCAACAGCGGGCTTTTCAGACGTGGGGGAGGAACCAGGCCCTCAACAGGCTAGAAAAGGTATGGACCGATGAAGCCCATCCAATGTTTGAAAGGAAGGAAGCGAGGGCTAAAAGGGAGTAGCTGCTCATGCTTTTTGACCGTTTGTTTTTGTTTGCATTGTAGTCTATGAAATATTATATTGTTGGCATGCAAGCCACATGATTGCTAAATTACATGGTTGTTAAGGAGCTTTCACCTTACATGATGCTAGCAGAAAAGAAACTTTAGAGACTAGTTTATATGTAAACCAACCTACGTCAGTCTGACTGACAAGCTTACGGTTTTCATACGCAAACTTACTGATCTGTCGGCTGCATTCATCGCACCAGTATGATTTCTGACACATTGATTCTTAGACTGGTCTCGCTGAAGTTTACTCTCCACATTTTGTCTCCCCAGGGTGTATGGAGAGTTTGAGAGAGGAAAGAGGAGACGGCAGGGCAGTAGAGCTACCCTCTGTGAATCAACAAGTGACGCTTGCTGTCACTACAGTAAGTGCGATATAACGTGGATGAAGAGGATGAAATGAATGTCTCATAATGAATGTGATTTCGCATCCTTAAGTTCCAACTGACGTAATCGTTTGTCTCGGGTAGATGACGTCAGAAGGATCAAAAAATTTCTATATATAATGTGTCAACATTTGCCCAGTTGCCACCGAGATCCATTTTAAAAGAAATTACAAACGAGGGGGGTTGGTCCTCAAACTTTCTCTCTACCTTCACACCAGCCAAGCTTAATCAGCCGGCGACAACCAGTATTGCTTCCAGCCACCTAGTCTCGTCAACAACCTTGCCATCAGCCTTAGATGCTTTTTTTAAAATTTGTTAGCGGTTTGGACGAAAGGCAAAAAAGATGAGATAAAAAATATTTGCAACAAAGATGCATCCTATATGAACTGGTTTCAATGCAAAA